CTCGTCGTGGGGGCCGTCGGAGGCCGTGGAATGGGGCAAAACAGAGGCCTCGCCCGGTTTCAGCGGGGCGGCGCGGAGGGAGAAGCTCGCGGCGTAGTCGGCCTCCTTCGCCGGCATCGCGCGCCATAACTCGAGGAGCGGCCGCAGCAGCGCGGCCATTTCGCCCTCCAACGCCGCGCATTTCTCGAGTTTCTGCGCTAAGGGCGCGAGGAGTTGGGTCTGGCGCTGAAGGTCCTCCTGCAGGAGGCTCAGGCGGGTCTGCTTGGAGATGCGCTCGCGCTGTCGGGCGATCGACGCGCCGTGCGCCTCGCCTTCCTTCTTGGCGCTCAGCAGGACTTTTTGCATATTCGCGAAGACGGCCGAGCGAAGCAGGCCTCCCAAACCCTTTCGCGTCGCGGGTCTATTCGAGGTGGTTGCCGGAGAATCCGAGGATGAGGGAATCGCAGGGGTCGGCTTCGGTTCCGTTCCTTCGGCGTCGTTTTCGACTTCCACTTTGACCCGCTTCACGTTGACGTCGTTCGGTTCGTTCGGACTTTGTCCGCTTTCGTGTTCCTTAGTTTCATCGCTCGCGTTGGGGCTTGTCTTTGGAGCGAAGTATTTCTCAATCTCAGCTCGTTCGCGCGTTAAACGCTCGATGAGATTCTGCAGGGATTCATACCCACGCCGTACAGCTTGCGTACTGCGGTGAATGACAGAATACTTCCGCACCTGCTGTCCGACGTGTCTGCTAAAAATCCGACGTTGAAAGCTCGTTAGAGGTTCTAGATAATTTTCTTCAAGATCAAAAAAACTGTCATGGTCTTTGTTAATAACATCGGAATCGAAAAGAGGCCATTGACTAAAAGATGGAATCTGTAAAGCGCTCCTGTTGCCTTCTTTGTAGTTCAGATCCTGTTCCATCCTCCACTTTCCTTACCTTAGTTAACTGCCGTTAATGTTCTCTTAAATTAAAATCTCTAATAATATCTATATGTCGTATTTAGAACAAAAAACTTATGTAAACTTGTACACCAAACCGCATCTGAAGAGAAGATAGAATTGCTCTTAATGACTCTCTAATATATTGTTTGAGCCCATTTAATATAGAATCAATGATGCTGTCTAATTTCATGCTGTTGGTAAACGAATGAGGCAATACAACTTTTAGACGAGGTATTGAAAGAAAGGTAGTATACATTAGCACAGAAAATTACCCAAGAATATTATTTATTTTCATCTTTTTTGTCATGATAAAGATATTTCAAAACGTTCGAAAAAAACACGAAGCTTAACAGCAATACATATTTTCGTTTAATTATATCTAACAATAAAAAAAGATAAATTCGAAAAACAGAAACTCATTCCTTGATCATCTTTAAAGGTATAAATTTTTCTTCACCTTTCTAAGGTGTTGCTTATACTTTGTTGGTAAAATTATGCTATGTTCTGGTTAGCTATTTGTTTTTAGAAGAAAACACTTGTCTAAAGGAGAATGGCGCTTTTACAAGTGAAAGATTAGAGAATTCTAATTTCACCTATTCAACTTTGTACAAGTTCCCTTCATTTCAATAATTTTTATATAGAGTAAACTTATTCTCTACGAAATAAAAGTCCAGCCTTACCGCCTTCTAAAAGAACCTCAGTGCATCTACTCACAGTTTTTTTTACAGTCAAGAACTACAGAAACTCTTTACGCAATAAAAAAGTCTCCAATACAGATATCTGATACCCCAAACCACCAACAAACAACAATGAAAAGTGTCCTTATCGTCAGGAGGAAGAAGAAGAGAGTCAGGATTTTTGTGTATATTATACCTTATCCTCCCTCTAAATCACACAAGCAATATATATATATATATAATTGCATATAAGACAACCTCCTTACCACAGACACACACACACAAAATATACGAACGAAAGGGAATCATTAGTACAGAAGTACACAATCAAAAAGGGTACGTGATAATATTTTCTTTTATCATTCTATACATAAGTTGTGCATAGAGAAGGAAAGACAAATGAGAAATATCGCTTTCTTGTATCTAGATCTTTTCACCGTTAGACAAAAATATCAGATCAATCTAGCTTAGTAATACAGTTCATAACCTTGTGGTTCGATTATAAAAAGAATACCTAGTGTGGAATCGTGTTTATTCCTTCCTTCCCTGTTTTGTTTCGTGTGTTTCTTTGGGTCTGAGTTCTCGCTAGGCACGAATCGCACGATGCGAGGGACTCGAGCCGGCCTCATCGTCCTCATCGCGATACCACTCATTGGTATCGGAATCATACCACATCTCAGTGGTCGGGTCGTAAAACTGCCGGCTGGGTGGGTGGTAGTACAAATTCTCCATAGCGGAGTAGTAGTATGGCGTCCCCTCCGCGCGAACCCAGGCCCCCTTCGGGAGCAAAACGGCACGCCCCTGCTCGTCCA